GCTGTGTCTCTGTCAAATAAATAAATAAAATCTTAAAAAAAAAAAAAAAAGAAGAAAAGCCTTGTGTGAATTAGTGAAAAAGACTATTATGAAATGCTCTAATATAAAGCAGTATTCAGAGTTTCAGACACTGTTTTAATGACTAAATAAAACTCTTTAGTATCATACGTGTTAAAATATTTAAGAACAGATTTACTAAAATTTGATCTGTGCTTTTTCATGGAACTCTTTTTAAATTAAAAAAGTTATCTTCAGTCCAGTTGAGATTCAGTTAGTGGTAAATTTCAACTTCGTTTGGTCAAATTTTATAGTTTGTTTTTTTCCCTGTGCAGTGAATTTTTCATATTAACTGTTTGACAATCTGTTTATTGGTAGAATATGAATAATTAGTCATTGCTTTTTTTTTTCCAATGTTTTAACATAGTGTAACTGACAATAGGATATTTTAGCAATGTTGCATTGTGTTTTTTAAACATTTCTGTACAGATTTTTTAGTTCTAAAAGTTTTAGAGATGCCTTGATTACCTTTTTTTTTCTGTTGATGTCCACTTTGTATATTTAGCAATGTTTTTTAATAATTATAGTTTTAATTTTGTCTAAGTGAATTTTCTGGCTTAAGCATTGACAACCCTATACTCTAAGATAATTTTATAATTTTAATACATGTTTTCAAAATCTACTTCTTCTGCTTTGTAAGTTATTTTGCTTTAAGTTGTTAAAAAAATTCATTATTAACCAGAATTGACCATTTTAATCATTTATCTATATTTTCAAAATTTGGGGTTATGTAAATATTTTATGTTTAAATGACTTTGAGGAAGCTGACTTCAGAAAGAAATACAAAACTTCCATAAGGCATCAAAGAGAGATAGACTTCTTTAGTTGGATATTTCTGAAAAGAACATTGAAAGTTTTAATGTTATTTTAATTTTGAGTTGTGAAATAAAAAAGAAAGAAATATTTGGCTAAAAGCTCTAGATCATTTATCATTAATTGAACGTCTCAATAATCATAGGCACTTTTACACTTTTTATCCTTGTTACACTGTTGATGCCTTAATTCAACTAAGTATTTCATTTGTTTTCAGGGAAAGGGGTGACACTGGTTGAATATGAATTTAAAATAGATAAATGGGTTACATAGCAAGTGGACAAAATGCTTTAAAAATACGTTATAAAGTTGTAAAATCAGTCTGGGATCTTATGGTTATACATACCATTTTTAACTATTATGCTTTCCTATAGACAGAATTTAAAAGATTATAAATTATTGCTAAACCAAAGAGCATAGCATTAATTAGTTGAAAGTTAATTAGAAATTAAAATGTAAAAAAAGTCTATAAAAATAAAGGAATACCAAGACAAGCCAAAACAAAAAGACATTATAATATAAGCGAGAGTAACTGGAAATATTGTGTATTTGGCATTTCCCTCAAATTTTTTTCCCAACAATTCATTTAATCCTCTTGATGTCATTTACATATTGAGTCTGGTTTGCTCTTGGTCTAGATCATATACCTTACGTCTTTTTTTTTTTTTTCCACATTTACACTGGATTAACACACTGTCATTGACTTCTGAGAATGAATGTACAAATATATTGTTAGATTTCACTTATTCATGTTATATTCTTCAGTTGTGAATTGACTTATTTTTATTGGGGGCCATTTAAATCATCTGAGAGAATCTAAAAAATTTTAATTTATATATATATATTTTTAATTTTATTTTATTATGTTATGTTAATCACCATACATTACATCATTATGAGTTTTTGATGTAGTGATCCATGATTCATTGTTTGCATATAACACCCAGTGCTCCATTCAATACGTGCCCTCTTTAATTTATATTTTTAAGCAAATGTGTATTAAATTTGTGTTGTAATTTTACCACAAATAATTTGTTGCATTCTTTCTCCCCTATCCTTTTTTTGCATTGCCTCTGATGGATAGATCGAAATCCTGATGGTAAGTGAAAAGATAATTTAGAACAAAATGAATTTCAGAATTGAAATTTGGTCAGTGAATTGAACTGGTATTATACCATGAATGAACTATTTTTATAGACTGCTATTTTAACTATAGAAACTTCTTTAGGATGATTCAGTGCCTTCATGTGGCTATGGAGAGGATCATAAATGTTTCCTCGCATAGAGACTTTTCATTCATTATTAGTTGTTTCAGAGTCATGAAAAAGAATGAAGCTCCATGACTTTTTTGAAAAAAAAAAAAAATCAAAAGTGTCATTGACCACTTATATCTGTAAGTTATTGGTGATTTACTCATATGCTCTGCTATCTTATTTTACTTAAAATAAAGACAAAATAAGGAAAAATGGTGTTCGTCACTGAATTCTCATTGTCTGTTTTCTTTTTCTTTCTATTTTTTTCAAATTTTATTATTTTTTAAGATTTTATTTATTTATTTGAGAGAGAGAGAATGAGAGAGAGCATGAGGTAGGGAGGGTCAGAGGGAGAAGCAGACTCCCCGCCGAGCAAGGAGCCCGATGCGGGACTCGATCCCGGGACTCCAGGATCATGACCTGAGCCGAAGGCAGTTGCTTAACCAACTGAGCCACCCGGGCGCCCTCTATTTTTTTTTTTTTAATTGATTGAGGGCTGGGGTAAAGTGGTCAAAATGTCACTAGGGTATAGAAAGGATAGGCCCTATGGGGTCTTTTTGATCATGCTAGTGGTTTTGATGTTTATTCTGTGACCAAAGGGCAGCCACTAAATGGTTTTAAGTATGTCATGAAGTGCATGGATGTGAACATGCACACACATGCTTTTGCCCCAGAAAGGACAGGAACAGATTTGTATTTTGGAAAGATCACTCTGACTCAATGTGAAGAACTGGTTTTGAAGCCAAATTGCCTGTCAGAAGTGCAGCTGGAGGTTATTGCAGTGGAGTAGAGTAGAGGTGATGGAGATGGGGCAGATACCTATTCAGGCTTCAGCTCAGTAGCAGTGAACACCTCTGTTGCAGAGATCTTCACATCTGAGTACCATCTCTAGTCAAAGGGATCAGGGTTCTTAGAGAAAAGGCTGTTGCCAGGTCTGGAGAAGGGAAAATAAGAGAGCCTGTTCTATATTGTTGGGTCAGAGAGCAAAGAAGTGGTCAAGAGAAATGATCACAGTACCTCACAATGATTCAGAAGCCAGTGGAGGAGTTTCCACTGGCTAGATATGGGACATTTTGAGCATCAAAATCATAATAATGATAATTTATTATAATATGTTGAAGACAGAGATAGAATCTGTGAGTACAGTGATAAAATAAAGGCATGTATAGAGGGAAAACTCTGCAAAAGGAGGTCAGCTAATAAGTGTAGAATGGGTGATAGAATTAGAGAATCATTCTCCAAATCTTTGTAATAATTAGTTCAGGAAAGATTCATCAATGGACACTAAATTCATTGGAGTAATAGAATATTCAGTCTCAAAACATTACCTCATAGATTACTTTTTAATTACAAGGAGAAAACAGTATCTCTGCAGGAGTGGTTTGGTAACACCACCATAACCAAGTGATCAGTGTTAGCGTCCTTAGTATCAGCACAAACTGACATTATATACGACCTGTACTGATGCACACGTCTTTGAGACATACAAATTGTCTGTTTTCTATGTGTCCGAATAGATCCGCTGCTCTCTCTAATCAGAGCACTATGAGTACTTATTCTGTGGGCCTATTTCTTTTTTTTTTTTT